AGAGAGTTCCAATTCCTTTCCTAAGGGCTTTTGCTCCTTATATGAGATCAAAATATACATTCCATGATTTAAACAACAACAAAAAAGAGCTTACCAGGGTGTAAATGTCTCGGATACACAGAGTTCCACATTTAGCTCTTGATATGAGCCATGATCCATGTGGAGACAGAGTGAGCATTCCAGGTCCATAATGTTTGCATTGCACTTTTTGGTATGGCTTAAGAACGCAAATACCGCTATGGTCCTGCCAATCAAAAAGAAAATCACATTATGGAAAAGATCAAGGAAGCGACACCTTCAGGCTTGCAGTTGTACATATACAGTCAGATTCAAATTCACAAACCCTATCATTAAAAGTAAACTGACACATGATAAAGTGGGCACCTGTATTTGCATCATATTTTTCATCTTTGTTTGCAAATAAAAGTTCATTTCGGCCAATTACTAAGTCTTCTCTATGTTAGCTACCATTAAAGATCCCAGGCTACACTGACAATCTTTATTTTTCACTAATCATTTTCATATATCCCCATGCTCAAGTAAAAATAAATTACTCGCTGTGACCCCGATGTGTTTCATATATTCCCACCTCCAAGCCTCTGCACATGCTGTGACTTTTGTCTGGGATGCCCTTCCCCACCATATCCCCACCAGTCCTGCCTCTCCCTACCTCAGCAACCCACCTCCCTGCCAAGATGGTCCACAACATTTCTCCATGTCTAAATTTAACCTATTCTTGGAAGTCCAGCTCAACTATCACTTCTCCCATGACATTTTTCTTGAATTCTCCTTCCCATAGCCATTTCTTCCTTCTCTGACTTGCTGACACTGGTTATTCTGGGAGAGAAGGGCTTTGATTAAAGGGTTTAGGGGGGAAGGGCAGTAGGTAACTTGGGCCAGTGTATGCAACAGGTGTTACAATATGGGAGAAGTTTGAAGACAGTGTGACAAAAGGATGCCAGAAACATAGTTTAACTTTTCTGTGCAATTTTGCTTAGGGCTCAGGTGCAAAGTTCCATGGAAAATCATCAACCCTCTAGCTCCTGACACCTGTGGAATAGATTTTCTAATGCTAGATTGTTTTTTCAAGGCACTAAACTAATATTGTGTCATCTGCATGTTTATCTGACAAGTGTGATATATGAGTATGTAGCACAAGTGTGAGGTTGCTCCAACACATTTTATGATGGATTAACAAATCATGCTAATATACATCTAATCCAAGGAAATTATGTAACTATAATAAAGCCATTTGTTAACTGGACTATAATGTGAAAGCATGGATTACATCTAATTAATTAATACAATGTGTCAATCTCAATTGCTAAGATAAATGATAGCACACTTAAGTTTTGGCATACTTTTGCTGGAAGAAGATAGCTGCAGATGTACGGTACTTCTTTACAGAAGCCATATACTTGTTTACTTCGAAAGTCCAGCACTGCAGAGGACAGAGGGTGCTCTATCTCATACAGGAACTTATGAATTAATTCATCTTTCAGTCTCCCTCTTTCATCAGCAATGCTCACAGAAACTATAAAATTTGGGGAAGAAGAGAAATCACTTCCACCATATATTGATTTTATTTTTTTTATCATTATGAACAATTATGAACAGCAAAAGAAAAAATTTAAATGCTCAATTAATAATGCATAGCCTATTAGGTGATAAAAAAATGATTTAAAAACAACTTGGCTCCATTAGAAATACTTGAGGATTAAGTGACTGGTAGTGGGTAAAATATCTTTTATAAGGCCTTGGTTAATTTCATCAATTAAGTAGAGACAGACCATTAAAAGAAACTCATGATGGTCTTTAAAGCATGATCAATTAAAATATAAAAGTACTTTCAGGTCTTTGGCTCTCTTATACTCTGTAATTATATGTTTGCAAAATAGCTACCCAGATAGTTATCTATTAATAAAACAAAGAAAGAGTGTCTATTTTATCAGACCTCTTTATCCAGAAAGCTTTCTTCATAATATTATCAGTGAAAGTAACTATACAATAACCTCTCTGAATTTGACTATCTATATTTAAAACTACAAAAAAGAGACATCACAAAATGACAAATCAATTTGACAAAAGTGCTAGTCGGTCCTGTTTCTTTCTTTCTTTCTTTTTTTTTCAGCTGAGCCATCCTGCCATCTGTTGGCAGCTCAGCAGCAGCTCAGCTCAGGCATGGAAGTGGCAACCCTGTTGCTCAGAGCTCGAGCTCTTAACCAACTGAGCCACTAAGCCAGCAATCCTGTTTCTTTTCTCTGTAATAAGACAAGCTCATATGAATGACAAGGCCTAGGAGAAAGCCCACGTTTCACATTGTTTAGCAGCCACATTTGTTTCACTTTGTAAAACACACAAAAGGTGGCCATTTTATCTCTTGACAAGTTAAGAGGGGGAAACAAATGCTATCACCAGAAAAAAAAAAAAAAAAGCTACAGCAACTACTTGTCTGACTGCTTGTCTTTTCTTCACCTTGTGGTAGCATTTTAGGCAGAGTAAATATTTCCAGCTTGCTTCTTCTTGTTTCTGGAGGTATGGAAAGCACCATCACTTCCACTATGTCTGAGTCCAAAAGAGACACTGTAGATATTTGTAAAATGTCTTTGCCCACCTCTGAAAGCAAATGCAAATTAATACCACAGGTGGTCATCGACACATTTAAAGCATCTTTTATCTTCCCAAGTAAGATATCATATTATAGAATTGCCTTTACTAAATCTTTAGATCCAAATGTATTTACTGTATATTTAAAGTGGCCTTTAAACATAAGTGATGAGGACATTTTGGATGGACAGATGGAGGATTCTCCTGAGTTATGTCTCAGCTGGCCCGTTCAACCCAGCTCAGATGTGCTCAGCTTCGTTCCCAGCCCAGAGGCCTCCAGAGTCCACCATGTCNTTTATACATGCTGTCAAATGAACTTCTCTGTGTTTATGCGGAACCCAAATATTGAGCTTGCTTACGTATCCCAGCTTCTTCAGGTGGTTGTGAACACTTGAATGATGGATATTCAATGTTTCTGCAATCTCTCGTGTCGTGTAACGTGGGTTTGACTCCATCAATGCCTTTATTTTGTTGTCATCAACCTCAGTGGGCCTCTGTGACTGAGCAGCATTGTTGAGGTCAAAATCACCAGCACGGAATTTGGTGAACCATCGTCAGCACTGATGTTCTTATAGAGCATTGTTACTGTAAACTTTATGTAACTTTTCACAAGTTGACGTGCGTTCTTCCCTTTATAGAAGTAAAACATGGCAAAAATGCACAGTTTGGTCTCCCATCTTCAACTTGTAAGATCTCCAAAACTTAACCAAATTGCTCAATTTTTGTTTTAGAATGAAGCTAGAACTGTCAGCTGTCAAATGACATAACAATAGTATCAATGCAAATGACTCTAGTACTTCCAAAAATGAACAAGTGCCATCTGTTGCAAACATGCGTCATGACTTTTCCGACAACCCAATATATACTGTACTTACCTCCATCTTAGGTAAACAAGGGTGCCATCTTCTTTCCCATTCACCAGAATATTTTGTCCATCCAATGACATTCTCACCGACTGAATTCCGTGCCCCTGGTGAGAATGACTCCGACACGAAACAAATGTTTCCTCGATAGTTTTAGGAACAAAGTGCAGAAATTACAAATGCAATTCTACCACATGGTTTTCCTAAGGGGAGTTACATGCACTTTGCTTGCAGATAAATCTTCTATTTGTTAACAGCATTTTAGTTGGTATGGAAATAGCCTCTGGGTAATACATAGCACTGAAAAATTCTTAGTGCAAAACCCATTCTTAACCAGTACTGATTCATCCTTCCATGTGTGTAGAATGGAAGGAGAGGGATTATTATCACTAATTTGTAACAGGAAAATCAGACACAGAGAAGCAAGTGGACTTGCTGCACACTATGAGGTTAAGGAAGGGGACTGGGCAAGCAGAGGGGACAAACNGGCAAGTAATCATTTGAAAAATGTAAATAAGATCGTGTAAATCCTCTCCTCAGAACACTTTAATAGGCCCTCATAACATGTAAAATCAAATCCAAAGTCTACCTGGTACACAAAGCCCTCATCACCAGGCCTTTTCCCACGTTAAAGACCTTATCTCCCACCACTCTCTCACTTGCTCCCTTCAACTGCACAGGCCTTTTTTAGGTCCTCAGACATACCAGGCTCTTGCCCCCTCTGCCTTGAATACTTGTGCCCCATGTTGCATGTTGGCACCTTCTTTAATTCAGATCTCAGTTTAAAAGTTCTCCTCGGAGAGGCTATTCTAGCCAAACACTATCACACCATGCCATTTTTATTTGCTAAATAGATCTTGTTACTATCTAATCTTATTTCTTTGCTTATTTATCTCTCTCTTTGCTCACCTTCAACCCCCAACTGGAATGTAAGCTTCATGAAAGCAGAAACTTCTTCTATCTTGTTCATGCCTATACCTCCCCCAGCCTAGCACTTTGTAGGTGCTCAATACATATTTGTTAAATGATTGAATGAATGAATGTTGTTCTCTGGCTAGATACTTCCTAAATAATGTGTGTGACATAAAAGTATAGACAGGCCATTTTGACCAAGCACCAGAACTGGTAGTAAGATTTTTTTTTTTTCAGGCAAGTCTGGATCTTGTATGATAGTTTAAATTGATCTGAGGTGTAATATTAGTGATTGCTTTGAGAAAGGCTAAATATTTTATCTCAGATGTAGCTCATGCTCTTTTTGAAAATCATGGGGTACCTGGGTAAAGAGGAATATTACTAAATATCTGCTAAGAGAAAACCAAAAACTGTTATTTGGTTTAAAAAGAAAGAAAGGAAGAGTGGACAAAAAAAGGGGGGGGGGCGGTGGTTTATGGGAAGTAACCTCACAGGGTGATCTGATCATAAATCCCTCACTGGGCAGGTCATGGTGGGGAGTCACACCCCAGGCCTATAACTTCTTTAGCAAAGGGAA